TGCAGTCTAATTTTGAGTCATTTAGCAAAGTCCTTGGTGAGGGCAAGTCCACAACTTCTGAGCAATTCAGCATGTTAAGCCCACAGCCTGCCAGCTCCCAGACACCCCCATGCTCCAGCTGAAGGAATTAGATGAGGCTTTCTGGAAAGTTTCTCCGTGACATGATTTCTACTTGGCAGAGCTGCCTTGGTCTGAAAATCCTGATTTAGTAAGATGAGCGCCCTTCCTTGTCCAGCCCTGTGTCACACCCTCCAGATGCAGGCTGGGAGCGGTTCCCAACGCTCAGCCCTGTGCACCTTCTCCCTTTCTTTCCCTTCCAAAGCAGATGAAATCAGCTCTGCTGGGGCCCTCAGAGGAGACTGCAGTCAGTGGGAGGACCAGTGGGCACAGGATGGGAGGACAAGGATTGCGAAGATGTCAGCGCTCCCCAAACTCATTTATAGTTCAATGCAATGCCAGTCAGATCCCAGTAGAGTTGTCTTGGAAAGCTGACCAAATGGCTCTGAAGCACATCTGGGAGAATAAACATATGAATGCAGCTGGAGAGTTTTCAAAGAGACACATAATGAGGAGGGGCACTAGCTTCAACAGGAGCGATGGCCCAGTGTGCATGGGTGGGGGCGTTCTTCCGGCACTTGCACTTACAATGCCTCACATCAACCCTAGCAAGTAGGTGTTACCTTTAACCATACAGAATTGCTGGTATTTGATGATGTTGAGGACTACAAAATGGTGATTTTTGCATTATTGTCATCTACGTTTTGCAGAACCGAGGCACAGAGAAAATAAGAAGTGGTCCAAGGTCATGCAGAGCCATTGGTAGATTGGGAATTTCAACCCAGGTAGGTTGGCTGTAGGCTGTGCTCATAAGATTACATTATATAATCAACAGATTACGTTATTCACAGATGGACTCTAGAATAGAAGAAAATTTAATCTATCATAAAGCAACCTCTGCAAATTTGTGGAAAAGGAAAAACTGTTGCATATATATTTGGAAAAACTGGTTAATTGGGGGGAAAGATGGAACAATCTTCACCTCCCAACTTGCCACTGATCAATTACAGACGGATTAAAGTATTCAGTGTATAAAAGGAAACCTTTAAAACTGTGAAAGAGGATTAGCTGAATAATTATCTGCTGTGTGGGGAGAACACAAGGGAAGACTAGCAAAGCTGCCTACATAAAAAACAGAAGTTTCTGTTCATTAAAAAGATCAAAAACAATGGAAAATATAAGGAACAATTGGGAAAAATGCTTGTCAGAAACATGACAAGGTGAATTAATATGTTTCCACACAAAGAGCTAGAATGAAAGTGGAAGAAAACTGGGAAAGGTCATGGATGACCAGTTAACAGGCAGTGAAAAGCAAACGCATGGATTCCACAAATACATGTGGGGCAGTCATAACTTGCCAGATACTGTTCTGGTCTTGGAGATGGAGCCCGCTTTCTATGGGGTGAGGCTGACACTAAACAAACCAACAGGTGACATGTAATAAAAATCTCAGGTATTATGAAGACACGTGACTGACAGGAAGGAGAATAAGGCACAGTAAGGAGGTAGGGAGTGGAAGGCGCTATTTTAGATGAGGAGGTCAAGGACCATCTTGCTGATAAAGTGACTGTTGAATAGCTTTTTGAAAGAAGCAAGGGGCCAGGCATGGTGGCTCATGCTTGTAATCCCAGCACTTTGAAAGGCTGAGGCGGGCAGATCACTTGAGGGCAGGAGTTCAAGACCAGCCTGGACAACATGATGAAACTCCATTTTTACTAAAAACACAATAATTAGCTGGGCTCGGTGGCATGTGCCTGTAGTCCCAGCTACTCAGGAGGCTGAGGCAGGAGAATCACTTAAACCTGGAAGGTGGAGGTTGCAACGAGCCAAGATTGTACCCCTAGGCTGGGCAATAGAGCAGAACTCCATCTCGAAAGATGGGAAGGGAAGGGGAGTGGAGGCGAGGAGCAAGGGAGCAAGAAATGCACAGATCTGGGGAAGGAGCATTCCAGGCAGAGGGACAGGCAATGAGACTAATGTGACTGGGTAAACCGGACAAGGAGGAGCGTGATGAACGGTGGGTCCATAGAGGTAGCCAGGCACTTAATCATGAGGAGGTTTGGAGGCTCTGCAGAGAATTTTGAATTTTATTTCAAGTGATACAGGAAGATATTGGTGGAATTATGAGGAGTCCATTTTTTTCTGTGTTAATAAACGTATAAAATTGTTCAAACTAAAAGATAAAAATTAAATCAAAATGAAATATCAAAAATTTTAAGATCAGACACTGATGTGGCGCAGTTAGATGGACACTCATGCATGGCTAGAAAAAATATGTCTGCTCACTAAGTCAGGAAATATTAACTGAGCAACCACCACGAGCCTTGAGCCAGATAATGTTTGTTTTGTTCTTCTTTTTTTTTTTTGAGATGAAATTTTGCTCTGTTGTCAGGCTGGAGTGCAGTGGTACGATCTTACGATCTCAGCTCACTGCAACCTCCACTTCCCATGTTCAAGAGATTCTCCTGCCTCAGCCTCCCAAATAGCTGGGACTACAGGTGTGCACCACACACCTTGTATCTGTAGTAGAGACGGAGTTTCACCGTGTTGGCCAGGATGGTCTCAATCTCTTGACCTGGTGATCTGCCCACCTCAGCCTCCCAGAGTACTGGGATTATGGGCATGAGCCACTACACCCGGCCTATTCTGTTCTTTTTTTAGAGACAGGGTCTCACTCTGTCACCCAGGCTGAAGTGCAGCCATATGTAAAATTTCTCGCTTCCAGCAATCCTCACCTCTTCACCTCCCAGAGTGCTAGAATTACAGGCATAAACCACAGTGCCCTTCCAAACCACATAATCTTGAGGGGTTGGGCAGGCAGCACCAAACAAGAGAGACAAGGGATGTACGTTCAGGAGGTGGAGCCAAAATGTTCTATTTTATATTTGTTAAACAATAAGCATTAAACCCAGGAATGGGCTAGTCTGAGTGCAGTGGTGTCTACAACTAACTGATCATAGTGAGTTACAGATTTCTTTGTTCCTTCTCTATTCTCACTGCTTCCCTTGACTGGCCTTATTAAAAAGAAAAGGAATAGGAAAACCACTATTATTACCTTTATTAACATTGTTACTATATATCCCAACCAAAGCAATAAGATAAGAAAAATAAATAAAAGGCATAGGATGAAGAAAAGGAAAGTAAAAGCATGAAAAGATACATTTGAAAACATCAGGCCATGCGCACCTGTAATCCCAGCACTTTGGGAAGACAAGGTGGGCAGATCACAAGGTCAGGAGATCGAGACCATCCTGGCCAACATGGTGAAACCCTGTCTCTACTAAAATACAAACAAAAAGTTAGCCAGGCGTGGTGGCAGCTACCTGTAGTCCCAGCTACTCAGGAGGCTGAGGCAGGACAATTGCTTGAACCCATGAGGCAGTGCCCCGAGATTGTGCTACTGCACTCCAGTCTGGCAACAGAGTGAGACTCTGTCTCAAAATATACATACATACATACATACATATATACAACAAAAATATAAAGCACATAGGAAAAATTATAAAAAAATTTTGGAGACATGAAAGAACATCAGGCTAGATGAAGACAGACACCACAGTTTTAGACAGAAAGGTTCAATGTCATAAGCATGTCAGTTATTCCCAAACTGGTTTATAAGATTCAGTGGGATTCCAATCAAAACCCCAAGAAGATATCTGAGGAGGTGGGTTAAGAATAGCTTTGACCCGGCGGGAGGATGAGGCAGGCAGATCACTTGAGGTCAGGAGTTCAAGACCAGCCTGGCCACATGGTGAAACCTCATCTCTACTAAAAATGCAAAAAATTAGCCAGGTGTGGTGGCAGACATCTGTAATCCCAGCTACTTGGGAGGCTGAGTCAGGAGAATCATTTGAACCTGGGAGGGGAAGGTTGCAGTGAGCTGAGATGGTGCCACTGTACTTTAGCCTGGGTGACAGAGTGAGACTCCGTCTCAAAAAAGAACATTTTTTAATTTTTAATTTTTTGTTTGTAGAGATGGGATCTCACTCAGTTGCCCAGGCTGGTCTTGGACTCCTGGTTTCAAGCAATCTTCCCGCTCCAACCTCCCAAAGCACTGGTATTACTGGCATGAGCCACAGCGCCCAGCCAAATTTGAGTCTCTCTTATTCTAGAACATCCCCCTCCCCTTTCATGACATTGACTTTTGAAGGTTTCATGCAAGTATCCTCATTGAATGCACTGCCCCCGACTAGATTTGTCAAAGTATTATTTTCTTCTAGCCTTTGTATTTCTTATTGCTGATGCCTTGCTTAAAGTGCTGAGGGAAAAAAAGCCTCTAAGAAAAAACAAATGATGCATTTTGCTGTATAATTTTTATATAGTTCAAATCTGTCCATTCTTCTAAGCTTTTGGTTTTTATATTTTGATGAGGCAAACCTTCTTCAGTCCAGAATTCTAAAAATATGCCGTATTTTTCTAATACTTTTGGATTTTGCATTTGCTAGATAAATTCAATTAGGAATTTATGTTTTGCGTGTGGTGGGGTAGGAAGCTGAGGACTCTTGTTCCTGAATGGTTGGCCAAGTGTTCCTCCCTAGTATTAAATAGTTTATTATTTTATTTATTTATTTTTGAGACGGAGTTTCGTTCTTGTTATCCAGGCTGGAGTGCAATGGCATGATTTTGGCTCACCGCAACCTCCGCCTTCTGGGTTCAAGCAATTCTCCTGCCTCAGCCTCCCAAGTAGCTGGGACTACAGGCGCACACCACCATACCCAGCTAATTTTTGTATTTTTAGTAGAGACGGGGTTTCACCTTGTTGACCAGGATGGTCTTGATCTCTTGACCTTGTGATCCACCCGCCTCGGCCTCCCAAAGTGCTGGGATTATAGGTGTGAGCCACTGCGCCCACCCGGCCAGTAGTTTATTTTTAACATTGCTGTGATGTGCTACTTTTATAGAATTCTGAATTCCCATATGTTTGTGATCTGTCTTCTAGAACCTAGGTATAACAGTCATCTCTTTGTTTTTGAGACTGAGTCTCGTCTTGTTGCCTAGGCTGGAGTGCAGTGGTGTGATCTTGGCTCATTGCAACCTTCTCCTCCTGGGTTCAAGTGATTCTCCTGCCTCAGCCTCCTGAGTAGCTGGGATTACAGGTGTGTACCACTACGCCTGGCTAAGTTATATATATATATATATGATACAAATTTTTGCTTTCTTGCCCAGGCTGGAGTGCAGTGGTATGATCTTGGCTCACTGCAACCTCTGCCTCCTGGGTTCAAACAATTCTCCTGCCTCAGCCTCTGGGATTACAGGCTAATTTTTGTATTTTTAGTAGAGAGGGGGTTTCACCATGGTCTCAAACTTCTGACCTTGTGATCTGCCCATCTCAGCCTCCTGACGTGCTGAGATTACAGGCGTGAGCCACTGTGCCCGGCCAAGTTTTGTATTTTTAGTAAAGATGGGGTTTCACCATGTTCCCAGGCTAGTCTCAAATTCCTGACCTCAGGTGATCGGCCTGCCTTGGACTCCCAAGGTGCTGGGATGACAGGTGTGAACCACCATGCCAGACTGACCTATTTGTTACTTCCTGCTCCAACACCATATCACCTGAATATTTATAGTTTTTATATCTGGTGCGGGCAGTTCTTCCTTGTTGTTCTTCATTTTTTACTTTTTCTTAGCTAATTTTTCACATTTCCTCTTCCAAATGAATTTTAGAATAACCCATTTGAGTTTTTTGGAAAAACCCATTTGGACTTTTGACTGCCAATGTCCTGAAATTATAGGCTACCAGAGGGAAGGGTAACATTTTCACAATACACTCATGTTGCACAATCATGGGCCGGCTCTCCTGTTCTCCAGGTCTCTGCTGTGCTTCTGGAAAGATTTGGAATTCTGCTCATGTGGGCTTCACACATGCCTTCTGCAGTGGATTCCTAGGTGCTTAACAAATATCAGTTGCTATTATAAATGGGAACCTTTATCATACATGAAAATTTCAGGTGCTGTCAGTGTGCAATTGATTTTTTAATGGGTTTTCTCTCTCCTTTTCCAATATTTATACTACTTTTTATTGTTGTCTATTCCACTGGTTAGACCCTCCAATATAGTAATGAGTAGTCATGGTGATAATTTGCATCTCTGGTGTGTTCCTGACTCTGCCAGGAACGCTTCACTTTGCTTTTTAATCCACGGCTGCCTCGGGTTTAAGTTTAGCATGTGGATACGCAGGAAGCCACCACACCAGAGCTCAGGTCACTCACCCAGGGATGTAGCTAATAACATGTCAAGGGGTGCCCAGGCTCAGCTTTGCCTTTTCACACAGTTGTGTGGCATTGGGCAGGCTCCTGACCTCTTGACGCCTCATTCCGCTGCTTTGTAAATGACCTCCCACCTAGGGGACACCTAAGCCCTTCATGGCTGTGCTGCCCTGGGGCAAGTGCTGAGCTTAAGGTCACGGTGTTGGAAGGGATGGTACACTCTATAGGCGAACGGGACCAAATAGATCAGGAAAGTTTTTAACTCAAAAACCTGTGTTTTCCTTAGGATGTCCTTGAGAACATGGAAACAGAAGATACATCATGTAAAAGTCAATTCGTTACATTAGACCTCCTTGCTCAACCTGTTTTGGGAGACTCCACTATGCCGATGGGGGGCCTGAGCCCCCAGAGGCTGTGCACGGTCCCACATTCAGCATTTCCAACTGTATATGTGTGACCACAGTGTCATCTTTGAAGGTTCTATGGAGCAGAACACTTGGTTTCAGGTGTGGTGGTAAAGGCTTAACAACTGGCTCTGGGGGTGGGCGTGTGTGGTGTACAGGAGCTTGATTTTCAGCATTTGCCAATTTCCACGGTGTCAATACTCCCGCCACGGCCAACTCCAAGCCACCCATGTGATGTTACGGAATGCAGAATTGGGAAGAGATACTCATGATCAGCTGGTGGGAGCTGGCAAAACCACCTCCAGCACATCACTGCCCACGGGACCTCTGCTCCCTGAGGGCTGGGTGGTAATGGCACTCGCTGTACGCCCAACACAGGTCAGAGCTGTAACTGTTCCTTCCAGAAACTGTTTCCGCGCATGCATCAGTATATATAAATGGGTAAATGATATGTTTATGTGTTGTATTTCATACTAGCAGAGATGTTTTATTCTGTACCTTGACTTTCAAAAAAATTACTCTATCACGGACACTTTTCCATAATCACAACACACAGAACATATGAAAGGGCCTGGCTCTCTTTTGGCCCATTTGATCTGTATCGTCTTTTTTTGGGTTGCGGGGAGACAGAGTCTTGCTCTGTAGCCCAGGCTGGAGTTCAGTGGTGCCATCTTGGTTCACTGCAAACACCGCCTCCTGGGTTCAAGCAATTCTTGTGAGTAGCTGGGATTACCGGTGCCCACCATCACTCTTGGCTAATTTTTTATGTGTATTTTGGTAGAGATGGGGTTTCACCATGTTGCCCAGGGTGGTCTCAAGCTCCCGACCTCAGGCAATCTGCCCGCCTCGGCCTCCCAACTCCCGGTCAGTCCATATCCTCTTTAACCAGTGCCCTCTATTGGACATTTCTGTGATTTTCAGGCCTCTCCTGGGGTAGTCAGGGCTGAAGGGAACAACCCAGTTCTCCTCAAACATACATTTCTGGGGCCTCCCTTGAGGCTCCACTCTGGGCAGCCTGGCTCAGCCCTGCCTGCTCCCCATCGTGGACTCCTGCAGAGTGGCTGGGAGCTGATTTATCTGGGGTTCTACCGCCTAATAATGAGCAGAAAGTGCCCTTTCCTGAGCTCTTGGTGCTTTCCCCTCCCCCAAACCCACAGACAGGATGACTCTGGTGTGATGCAGGTGATGGGGGTCGAGAGTCTCAGGACCTTGGAGGAAGAAGGAGTCTCAGGCTGTAGCGGCTGTTTCCCATCGTCTCTACCTCCAGATTCTCGGTCCTTGGCAGAGCAGCTGTTTAGAGTCCATCTGAACCTGGCTTGAAGCTGTCCCAGGGCACACCAGGACACTGCAGACAGAGCAGGCCAGCAGCAGCAGCAATCGAGTTCCTCCTCGCGGCCACTCGGAAGTCGCCACTGATGGCCCATCCAGCTGCTTTCCACCTGGCAACTCTGCATGGCCAGCGCCAGGAATCGGGACAGACATATCAATTTAATTACAGCTGATGAGTTTTCTGAGCAGTCAGAGGAGGGCAACACTGATTTATTCATTATATCGACTAAACACTATGTGCAAGGTGTTGTCCTGGGTGCTGGGAGAAAGTCGACAGTGAGACAGAAGTAGAGCCTGTCCTCCTGGGATTCATGTTCTGCAGAGGATGTAGACTCCAGCGGGTAACAGTGAAGGGGTGCTGCTGCTCAGTAGCGGTAAGCGCCCCAAAGACAAGGAAGGTGGAATAAGGGAGGAGAGAGTGACAAACGTGGGACTGAGTAACCAGGTCAGGCTGTGCTGCTCCAGGAAGATGAGCTTTGAACAGAGACCTAAAGAAAGCAAGGGAGGAGCCACAGGGAGACTGGACGGGGCAGGGGAGGGGCAAGAGGGGGACCGCCAGTGCAAAAGTGGGAACTGGTTCAGGTTGTTCAGAAAAAGCAAGGCTGGTGTGTCTGAGGGTGGGGGGCAATGCATGGGGTTGGAGGAGCTTGAGGATGAGAGATCAGAAGAGGAGACAGGCCAGATCACGTGGGACTTTGCAGGGCATGGTAGGCATCTTGCTTTTGTCCTAAGGGGCCAAGAAGTTGCGCATGTGGGGAACACTGTGGTTTCATGAGCTTCCACCTTTTTTTTTTTTTTTGAGATGGAGTCTCGCTCTGTCACCCAGGCTGGAGTGCAGTGGTGGTGATCTTGGCTCACTGCAACCTCTGCCTCCATGGTTCAAGCATTTTCCCTGCCTCAGCCTCTCAACTCGCTGGGATTACAGGCGCCCACCACCACGCCTGGCTAACTTTTTTGTATTTTTAGTAGATATGGGGTTTCACCATGTTGGTCAGACTGGTCTCAAATTCCTGACCTCAGGCAATCCACCCACCTCGGCCTCCCAAAGCGCTGGGAATTCAGGCGTGAGCCACCACGCCCGGCCGACTTTCGCTTTAAGAGGGTTTTTCTGGCTTCCTAGTGAAGATGAAACCTGGGACAGCAGGAAAGCCAGCTTGGGGTGACTGGAGTAATCAGGAGCTCAGATTTGTGGCAGGGAAGTGACCAACTCTAGGATGGATCTTTGGAGACAACAGACCAGCCTGATTGGAGGTGGGGGGAGGCAGAAGTGTAGGATGGCTCCTGGCCATTTTGGCAAGCATCTGCGGAGGGCAAATTGCTGCTTCCTAAATGGGGTAAATTTACGAGCGTCGAACTGGGAAGGAATTGTGCATTTCTGTTTTGGGAGTCACACCTGAGATGACTGTTTGCCATTGGAGGCACTGTTTCTGGGCTACCTATCCCCAGCTCCTCTTTCTCTTTCCCACCATTGGAGCATGGGCTGCAAGGGACAAATACTTGCTTGTCTAACCTCTCTTGCAACCAAACATGGCCATATGACCAAGTTCGGGCCAATGAGAAAGTCACAGGGGAAAGTTTGCTAGAAGATGCCAGAAAATCCAGGAATGTCTTCACTCTCCTGATAGAAATGATAGGTATGACAAGTTCCATCCCTTTATCCCATTATTCTTGCTTTAGACAAGAATGTAATGCTTGGAGTCATGGCAGCCATCTTTTGACTGTGAGGTGGCAACTGGTTTGCTAACAATAGTGGAGCAAAAGGAAGGAACTCGATTTCAAGAAATATCACTGCTGAGCCACAGACCAGCTCTGGACTCTCTGGACTGGCTGTCTTTAAATATGTTGTTATGTGATATTTAGTACAAGCATTGGTTATTTGAGGATTCTATTATTTGCAGCCAAAAGCATTCCTAACTACATTCAATCCCTATTCATCAGTGGGTATGAGTCTAGAACCCAGGGAGCGGCAAGGCTGGAGGTATAAATTTGGAAGTCAAAGGCTAATATTGGACCCTCTGGGACTAGATGAGATTGCCCGGAAAGTACTGTGGGTAGAGAATATCATAGATTGATGACTGAGTCCTGAGGCCTCCAACATTTGGAAATCAAAAGAGGAGGGGCCAGAAAGGAAACCCAGAGGGACAACAGAATGTGTTGTGTGTGTGCGTGAATGTGCATGTGTGAGCGCACACAGCCTCTGCTTTGGGGTCCTATGCTACATGTCTATACACTCCTCTGCAATTTGATTTTTTTTTTTTTTTTTTGAGACAAGGTCTCACTCCATTGCCCAGACTGGAATGCAGTTGTGAGATCATGACTCACTGTAGCCTCAACCGCTCAGGCTCAGGTGATCCTCCGAGCTCAGCCTCCTGAGTAGTTGGGACTACACGTACTTGCCACCACACCTGGCTAATTTTTTGTGATTTTTTTTTTGGTAGAGACAAGGATTGCCACGTTGACCAGGCTAGTCTCAAACTCCTGGGCTCAAGTGATCCACCCTCCCAAAGTGCTGGGATTACAGGCGTGAGCCACCGCGCCCGGCCCAGCCAAATGTTTTATTTAATATTATATTCTGGACATCTTCCCATGTCGGCACATGGAGGGCTACGTGATTCTTTTCAGTGGCTAATACTAACCTATCATGTGAATATTCCATAATGTATGTGTCACGAATTAAAAAAGACTTCCATCCTATCATTTAATTGGCACAATTAGCTACCATGTGGAAAAAGTAAAAATTTCACAAATGAACAATGAATGAAAATTTAAATGTAATAAAATGCCATAGAATAACAGAAGTCTACTAGAAAGATACTGAGTTTTGCATACTCTTAAGCAAAAAACAATTTTCTTTTTTCTTTTTTTTTTTTTTGAGACAGAGTTTTGCTCTTGTCTCCCAGGCTGGAGTGCAATAGTGCGATCTTGGCTCACTGCAACCTCCGTCTCCCAGGTTCAAGTGATTCTCCCACCTCAGCCTCCCGAGTAACGGGGACTACAGGCACCTGCCACCACGCCCAGCTAATTTTTGTATTTTTAGTATAGATGGGGTTTTGCCATGTCGGCCAGGCTGGTCTCTGAACTACTGACCTCAGGCGATCTGCCTGCCTCAGCCTCCCAAAGAGCTGGGATTACAGGTGTGAGTCACTTCGCCCAGCCACAAGAAGGATTTTCTTTTCATATATATATATACACACATACAATAGCATTTTAGGTTCTGGGGTACATGTAAAAGACATGCAGGGTCGTTGCATAGGTGCATACGTGGCAATGTGGTTTGCTGCCTCAGCACAGCACCAAAGTCTGGGGTCATAAGAGTAAAGAGTGATTGGAGTTCATAGTGTTACAATTCTGCGCATTAAAAAATCGTAAGATTACAAAGAAAAAAAGGTACATTTTGTAACGCATTATGTTATATAAAGGGTTAGTTTCCTCTAAGTTAACGCAGCAATAACAAAAATAGTGTGCCTGTTATCCCAGCTACTCTGGAGGCTGAGGTGGGAGGATGGCTTGAGCCCGGGGGTTCACACCACTGCACTCTAGCCTAGGTGACAGGGCAAGGTTCCATTCCTAAAAACAAAAAAAATACAAAAATAAAAAGATAAAGAGACAAAAGTGAATAAAGAATATGCAAGGGTAACAACCACAAAATACAATTTGCCATTAAACGTAAAACATTTTATCCTTAATAGTAATAAAATGCAGATAAACTAAGAGAACCTGTTTTTGGCCTTTCAAACTGAAAAAAGTTATCCCATATCGCTGAAGTACGGGGGAGCCCAGCAGCCTTATTCCCTGTGATAGGTGTTCGATCTTGTTAGAGAGCTTTTTTTTTTTCTTTTTTTGCCATGAAAAGTTGTTCATACTCATTTAAGTTTTAAGAAGTGGGTTCTCAGGACAATTAAGAGCTCTGTGTGATTACTGATTGGATGTTGGATAAGGGAAAAAATCAGCTGAGAAAGACATTACTGGGACAATTGAGGCAATTGGAATATGTGTATTATATCATATCAATGGCACCCGTCCTGGGAGTGATCATGGTTTGTGGTTACAGAGGAGAAAGCCCTTGTGCTTATTTATTTATTTAAGGGTGAAAAATTCTGCTGTTGCTCATTTACTTGAAAA